TCGCGATCGTATTTCGAAATCCAGACTCCTTTATTTAAAGTAGAATTTATTGATTTATAATTTCGGCCGATAATACATTTGCGAATATCTTGCGATTGGATGATCCAAAATCAATGAATGTTAGCTCATTGGATCAGACATGTCGCAAGGAATCGAATGGGAGTTGTTTCATACGAATGGAGCGATATTGACCGAGATCGTACATTTTTTGTTTATTGTTTTTTCTCAATATGTAATATGACATCATTCAACTATTTCGCGACTTTAGCCTTCAATGGTCAAAATGATTTCGACCATTTTGACCATTTCAGATATCCGAAATGATCCATTTCGACTTTATGAGTAATCTTCCCTAAACCAATTCAAAATGTTTCTTTCCAACAACTTTCTCAACAGCAACAACAGCAAATTTCTCAACAAAATGCTCTTCTTCAACATGCCACTCTTCCTCAACAATATGCTATTCTTTCTCAACAACATGCCGCTCTTTCTCAACATATCACTCTTTCTCAACAACATGCCACTCTTCCTCAACAACATGCTATTCCTCCTCAACAACATGCCGCTCTTCCTCAACAATATGATTCTCAATTATATAATTTACCTCTTACTTTACCTCAACAGTAAAATTCAAATTTAGATCAATTTAATTAATTTGAAATTGAACAAGTATATATTTATTAAGATTTTATTTTAAGATTTTTAGTTATCATAAATACTCATAAAAAAAGCTATTTATTTTAGGATGAAGATAAAGATAAAGAAGAGGATTGTAATAATCAAGATCAAGATCTTGATGAAAAATTTGAAAGTAATTGGAAACATGGTGAAATTAAAATTTTACTTGATCATCTTCAAGAAAAATTTTCAACTTGGTCTAAAGGGAATAAATCTAAATTTTATAATGATATAACGAAGAATATTCTTTCTAATAAAGAAGCAAATGCAATTAAAGGTAAAATTTTCTTTATTTTTTATCTTAATTTATATTAAATTATTAACTTTTAATTATTTATATTTAAGGTAAACTTGCAAGATTAATAAAGAAGTATGAAT